CTGTTCGGAATAGGTCTTACTAGAGTCGCTTGAGTGAACATCTTATGAGGGATTTGTATCATTATTCACTCTTCTCACTTAATAAGAATAAAAATACTTTAATCCACCAGAAAAGATCACCATAGAACTGTATTTCCAGAGTAGGGGAGATAGATGATCTGACGGACAGAGCAAAGTCATAAATGCTCGGTTTGAATGTTTTTTAAAGCTTTCATCGGCACCCTTAGTCTCCCTAAATTTATATTCGCTGTTTTGTCCAAAATGATTTAACGCATTTGAGAAAATTTGATACAAGTAGTAAGAGTTAACACGCTATAAGAAAACATAACTGTATTATTTAAAATAATCTTGTTATTATTAGGGAAACATTTCGAACGTAGTATGAAAATATATTCTTTTGTTGTTTGAGCATAATTCGAAGATAGTTAAACTATCCTGGCAGATCATTCATATTTTCAATAATAAAATGAAGTGATTCTTATTAGATATCAACCGTTATGCTAACTGTGAAAAACTAGACGTTACTGATTTTTGTATATAATGGATTAATATAAAAAAAAAGAAACGCATTTTCTAACATACATTTTTCTCAAATGTACATATACCTCTTGATTTATCTTTTTGCGGTGGCGCCATCTGTACGTAGGATTATAAACAAACGTTTTTACACCCTTTGTTAACTACATCGGTCAGTTTGTTTTGGACGTTTTTGATTTTGACGTTGTAAGCTTATAAACTTACCGCTGACCAACCAGTAACTCTAAGGATTTGTAATGCTAAAATTCGGGTTTTCGATACCCGAGGTGGGCAGAACACAGATAGACCATCATTGAGCTTTGCGCTTAACAACAAACAACCATCTTAGAATATTTAGACTTGTTTTGTCTATTCTATCTAATGCAATCCAAGTAAAAGCAACAGGAAGTCATAAAAAATATTAAGTAAAATATCTTATGATCTTAAAGTTTTACTCAAATATTTATTTAAATCATTTTGACCGTATTTATATGATTAATGTTGTTTAGTCTTAAGGCAGCAAAGATAAGAATTTAAATTCAAATAACGAAAAATAGTTCATGTTATCCTATTATGCATCATAGGCCAGTAATAGTGACTATTTAATATACCTAAACACGGGACAACTTTAATTGGCCAGTAATAATGGTTTGATTTCTTTTGAATTTCGCGCAAAACTACACGAGAGCTATTTACGCTAATTTACCTACTATTTTAGTGCCACTTTATAACGCCATCAGCTAAAAAGGGCGAACGCGTTCGTTGTGATGGGGATTCGACCCTCAAATTGCGAATCGGGCCCCCTAACTACCAAGCTATGCCAGGCCCAATAATATTAATTGTTTAGTTGACATAAATACAAGTCTTCAACTGGCATGTAATGTTTATTTGTAATTAAGGTTAATAAAATAGAATTTTAAATTTGTAAACGTATTTTTTCTAACTTTTTGTGATATAGTACTCCATGATTCCGACTTCGTGATTTTTTTTTTCCTACTAAAAGCAGTATAACTTTGTTTAACGTTGTTATTTAGTGTAAGTGGCCCGAGACTCCAGGTTAGTAAATGTTAATGTAAACACCTAAACATTTCTTACAAAATTATTTAAAATTGAAGATGTAGTATAATAAAAACTGTATTAACACTTTTACTGGATGTGTTGACCACTCTTAATTGTGTTTTAATAATCTTCATCAGTCACAAAAGTCCTTCAAAAGCACAATTTATATAACATGATTGTTTTATGTCAATAATATTACTACTGAAACTGTGAACAACAAGTTCCTGTAAAACTAAAGATTCATTGTTTTCTTCTCAAACACAATAAAGGGTTTACCCATGACTGTAATTAATAACAAACTATTAAATAATTTCAACGCAAGCTTTATTTTGAGCATACAAAATAACATCTCACATAACTAGCTGGAAAAATTTAAAGCATTTTCAATTACAAAGCACCTGATTTGTGAGCAGTTTTTTTATACTTTTAGAGCTAGCTGTGAACCAGCTAAATATTTAACTTCCTATCTGACAATACAAATAACTGTAAAAAGTGTTGATAGAGGCAGTGTATTTAATATATATATAAAACACTTTATTAGTTGAGATCTTCAAACAAACATTTCCTACACTAAAATAAACAATTTTTTTGCCAGTTGGTAACATAACGTTTCAGGTTACACAAATTACACCCAGATCTGCTATACTTTTAGTGCCAAAAGTTTTACTTTGATCCCACCTGGCAACAAAGTGTCTATAATAAGAAATCATATTTAACCTTAGGTGTCATGATGATTGTGTGTTGTCAGAAGTAAACATCACCAGGACACCTGACTTGATTTGTGTGTTGGAAGTAAACAAGTCAGGTGTCATGGTGACAACACACAATCATGTTCACTTCAGTCAGGTGTCCTGGTGACAACACACAATCATACTTAATTTACCACAGTTTACATAACTTAATTGACCTTGTGTCGGTGTATTTGTTTTACTGAAGTACTTACGTACAATTCAACATTCATGAACTGAGTGCTCTTGTAAAATATCTCTTTCTTGAACAGTACATGAAGCCGATTACTGGAACAAAATGCTTTTAAAGAAGTCAGTTTCTAGAAATAATATTCTCTTGTACGAGCCAACTTTACAGTGAAGAGCCAACTGTTTACTTGTGTATGAAAGTTAGTTAAATCATTGCCGTGCCTTTATAAGGTACATAAAACCAGTGCTTTTGAACTCTGTTTCCAATGACACAAGAGGATGAAAACTGTGACCCCCACTTCCCTTGGACCACTGTCAATAAATCCCCAGCTAACAGGTTGTACCCATCACACAGCTGCATAGATTGGAACGAGTAAGGGGGGGGGGGTAAAGTGTGAAGCACACTGAACAACACTTGCATTTTGTTTTCATGTGCATCTAAAAATAAGTCTTCTTGAATCAGGTGCCTCTGTGGGGGGTCAACTGGTGCCTCTGTGGGGGGTCATGCACTTTTTAACCTATTCAATAGATGTTTTCAGAGTAATTTCATGTGTTCTGACTACTTATCGATATATGTAGCAGAAATACACAATATGTTTTGCACACAATTCTTATGACGAGTGTAAATTATTAGCGACAACCTGAAAGAGTGCACATGCAAGAAATTCTACGATTATACAACATCCTCCTGATCCAGGAACTCAAAGCAAGATATACGGTGTAGAGAATAACTCGGCTATTATAGATGCAGAAAAACCCTTTTCCTGGAGAGAGAGAGGGGCTGGAACCCTATATATATAATGTGAATAATCCAAACAAACGATGTACTTTAGTAACTCAAGTCTCATGTGAGGACACTTTGTCAATTACTGATATTATACTTAATATAGAGAAGAACATTAGGTTTTACAGATCACCAAGAACAGACAGTGGTCTATAGCCATAAACCTCTTCGTGGTCCTGATAAAGTTCAGGTTAATATATCAGACAGTGGTCTATAGCCATAAACCTCTTAGTGGTCCTGATAAAGTTCAGGTTAATATACCAGACAGTGGTCTATAGCCATAAACCTCTTAGTGGTCCTGATAAAGTTCAGGTTAATATACCAGACAGTGGTCTATAGCCATAAACCTCTTCGTGGTCCTGATAAAGTTGAGGTTAATATACCAGACAGTGGTCTATAACCATAAACCTCTTAGTGGTCCTGATAAAGTTCAGGTTAATATACCAGACAGTGGTCTATAGCCATAAACCTCTTAGTGATCCTGATAAAGTTCAGGTTAATATACCAGACAGTGGTCTATAGCCAAAAACCTCTTAGTGATCCTGATAAAGTTGAGGTTAATGTATATTTTACCATATACAACATTTTTATAACGTTGACATCGGTACTAACTGTATATACTTTACCATATACAACATTTTTATAATGTTGACATCGGTACTAACTGTATATACTTTACCATATACAACATTTTTATAATGTTGACATCGGTACTAACGGTATATACTTTACCATATACAACATTTTTATAACGTTGACATCGGTACTAACTGTATATACTTTACCATATACAACATTTTTATAACGTTGACATCGGTACTAACTGTATATACTTTACCATATACAACATTTTTATAACGTTGACATCGGTACTAACTGTATATACTTTACCATATACAACATTTTTATAATGTTGACATTGGTACTAACTGTATATACTTTACCATATACAACATTTTTATAACGTTGACATCGGTACTAACTGTATATACTTTACCATATACAACATTTTTATAATGTTGACATCGATACTAACTGTATATACTTTACCATATACAACATTTTTATAACGTTGACATCGGTTATAAATGCTTATATCAGTTTAACAAAATTACTTTTGTGTGAGTGAGAATAGGCTGTTTAAAACGACAATTAATCTTCACTGTTTATAAAATTATAATGCACTGCCGGTCCCACTGTTTAAATACATTTTGATTTTCACTGCCAGTAGATGTCACATCAAAACTGCCTGAATTACATTTATACGTAATGGTTTTTACACTTTTCCATTATGCTCATAATCATTGCTTATATAATCCAACCTACTCATATTTTTTAGATAAAAAGATTTGGTTTCATATACATCGTTTAATGGCCATTAGTAACAACAAAAACAATACCGATGTTTGTAAAGCAAGCTAGTAGTGTAAGTCTTCCATTATCGTGACAAATCAATCTTGGTAAGACACGTTGTCACACAAATCATATTTAAAAAGAATATCAGTCTGCTCTTGAAAAATAAAAACCGTTATTATTATTATATTTTTGTTATGAGAATTACTGACAGTGCTGGTTTTTTTTTTTTTACTCACCAATGATAAAAATTAAATTACAGAAAATCAGGTTACTAATATATATACAGTTCCCGAGATAAAAATAACTTATATAAATGTACACATGCTATTGCTCTTAAAAAAAAATAACAACAGTGAATGTAAACTAATAAAAATACTTTAAAATAGTCAGACTGATCCATTTCAATTATATGTGACAATAAAATAATTATATGAAAAAATATTTCAATACAAAACAAGATAACAGTTGTAGAGATATATGAAATTAACACCCTGTGTTCTGTGATGCTCTTTTACAGCCACACAACCATTTTATAACACGAGCATTTTTCTCTATAATTGAAGTTACTCTAGGTTTGTTCAGTTGTTCAGCTTCTTTGTCAGTGTCATCTTCTTTGTTCTCTACGCTGGAATATTCACTGCAAGCTTGAGACTGATGGTCATCTGAAAAGGTGGTGCCACCTACATCAAGAAAACATGTCGGGGACGAGGAATGGGGATCATATATTATATTTTTCCACACATTTGCATCCAGTCCCATTGTATCAAAGAACCGCTCGAGTTCTGCACTCTCTCTGCTGCTCCTTTTATTGGACAGCTCTGACCGGTCTCTCGAGAAAGAACACCCACCCACGTCAGACTTGGACCGTAAAATGGGTCGTCGTCGAACGCCGTTGTTATCGAGGTTGCTAGAACAGAATTTCCCAACTTCTCCGTTCATCCCGATGCAGCAAGAATTCAATTCTTTGATTTCATCATGCAGATTTTCTTCATCAGTAGCATTCTCACCATTTTTGCATTGGAATTCACAGCTTTGAGAACACTCTCGAGCTTGTGTGTTGGAAGAGCCAAATCGAGGACTTCCGTCTCTTGGCATAACTCCGGATTGAACAACTGTCGGCAGTTTACTTGAACTGACTCCAAATGGCAAGGAAGATTTTTGATGTGAAACATCGAGTACTTTGACAGCTCCACCTAGCAGCATCCTATCTGTTGAGGCCAGAACCCTAGGAATGTTTAAAGCTGAAGACTGACTTACTGTTGTAGGTTTTTTTGATTCGTTTTCTTTTAGTCCTGGTAGCTTCTTCAAATTCCTACCTATACTATTTTGAACGAAGTCTGCAGACTGGTGAGAATGTTTCTCGTGATTTCGAAAGCTCGTTTTGCGTTCTGCGTTCCTGCTATAACATAAAGTCTTCGTATGAAGTTCTTGTGTGAAACCACACACCAGGTGCGGTTTTGACAGGATCTGTAGGTGACTGCTGTGTCGAACCTGTTGCTTCGAGTCTAACACTTGGCCCGACTTCACATAAACAGCTTTAGTCTCTTCTAATCTCTCCACAGCACTTCGACGATTTGCTGAAATAATGAAGTAAAATATATCAATATTTACGTCGTACATACATATTTTTCTGCTTCCGGTAATGCAGTACAGCAGATAGAAGAAAAGTCAAATCCTAAGACAGTGTTCAAATTACCAAACACAAGTTAATCTGTAACAAAAATACGCTTCTATTGCAATAATTATTATAAGGTAAAAACAAGTACAAAACTAGACTTATTGTGTGACAACATGTATGTATACGACTAACTTGTGTGACAACATTACGTATTACTGCTTGTGTGACAACATTACGTATTACTACTTGTGTGACAACATTACGTATTACTACTTGTGTTGGTGTAAGTTGTGTAACAACATTACGTATTACTACTTGTGTTGGTGTAACTTGTGTGACAACATTATGTTTTTTACTCATAATTATATTTAAAATTTGGAATTATATAATGTGGAAACAAAGACCAGTAGCCATTGTACTAGTGGAAACAAAGACCAGTAGCCATTGTACTAGTGGAAACAAAGACCAGTAGCCATTGTACTAGTGGAAACAAAGACCAGTAGCCAATGTACTAGTGGAAACAA